GAAGGAAAGAAGGAAGGAAGGAAGGAAGGAAGGAAGGAAGGAAGGAAGGAAGGAAGGAAGGAAGGAAGGAAGGGTGTATCCCTAAGTCCTTAGCCTGTGCTATTACGATCATAATGTAGGTGAGTTTGAAGTTTCTAGCACTCGTATTTCATTGGTGGGGAGTCTGCCAAGTTGCAGGAGGGTGAGATGGTGAGGAGCAGCCCTGTCAAGTAGAGACTAAGCATGCACATGGCATTTATTCTCCCTTTGATTGTGGACAGATGCACACCACTTCCTCTTGCTGACTTATTCTAGTCCTGTGACGACACAGAAAGTGTAACCTCTACAAAAACCAGCTGTCAGAAACATATGCGCCTTCTAAAGGGCATTGATTTAGAAGGAGAAAATGCTGCCACCTTGGAAGTTTCAGGCCAAGGTTCATCACTGCAGTGAGCTTCCCCACCTTGCAAATTGTCTGCTTCTGAGGCGGACCACCTTGCGGTGTTTCTGGAATCACAAGTGAAGCAGTCAGGGATGGGGTGGGGCAGGTTGTCATGGTTACAGTGACAGAAGACACCTGAGACGTAGCGAGTGGAAGCCAGAGCTAAAGATGCTACAGTACAGAGCACACTCGGAACTCGGAAGAAATGTTCCAGAGCCTGCATTGCACCTGAATGTCTGGCTTGATAGCCATCTGGCTTGTAACTTGTCCCTGCTTAAAATAAAATGGCAGAGTGAGTTTTGTGGTACAAGATATTTCTTACATGTTGTAATGTTCACAGTGTTCAGCATCCACCCACACACCTTTGCTTCTTAGTTGTACCGTGCAGCACAGAGCCTGAAAGAATTCTAATCTTACACTCTTGACCCCCGACTTCTTCACACTGGATGCAAGAGCAGTAATTCTTAGCACATTTGCATAATAAAACAAACATACCTTTGCCTTCCCTTTATGGCTCCTTCCTGTTCCAAACAAGACGTATTTTAATACTTAATACTACCGAAATTTGAAGTACAGGGAAGTTCTACAAACTATGGATTCTGGATTTAAAGAACAGTCCTGTAAGGAAACATTGCTGTAGAGAACTATGCAAGAGCTAGCAAGTACAGAATCATCCAAAGAAAACACACTGTAAGTCTGAGTCATCTTACCGGGGAAGGTCATCTAAGTAATTTCTGCGCCCCTCTGCTAAAGTGAAAGCCTCCCTTGGACTCTCCTTCTGTGAGTTGTACCTGTGAGACCATCTCTGTACCTGTTGTTGCAGATGGCGTTTCGGGACTGCTTCAGTCTGGCGTATCCTCACAACCCTCGCCCAGCAGACTTGATTGAAGTCTTCCGTCCTGGCTACCAGCACTGGGCACTGTACTTGGGTGATGGCTATGTTATCAACATTGCCCCTGTAGGTAAGATTTGTTCCCGGGGGCTCCTGGGAGCTTTATAGTTGATTTGAAATTAGAAGGGATCATGGACAAAACCATAAAGCAGATAAAGTATGAAAAATAATCCCAAGTAATTTAGAAAATGATCTTCAAAGATCAAAGCATCATTTAAAAGATTCCACAGACTAGACATTAAATTAAAAAAAACAAAACTCTATATTTAAAAAAAAAACACTAATTACAAACAAATGACTAGCTGAGGAAGATATTGGCCCCAAACATGACTAAGTTCCATGTTCTTATGTCTCACACGAGTGGGTGGTTTTAATTAATTCAGCAGCTATTAATAGGTTGTGCAGTATGTGCTGAATGCTAGTCCAGGCACCGGGGCTACACAGCGATCCAGACAGCTCCATGGTGGTGCCCACATTTTCGCAGACAGAGGGAGAGAACAAGAGGAAATTATAGACCTGTTAGGAAGGATGTGGAAAAATAAGCGAAGACGGTGGTGGTTTGGGATGTGCTGAATATAGGCAGACAGGAGGGCGGAGGGGGGTGGGGATGGGGGTGCTGTAGTGAGGGAACTTCTACAAGGAAGCAGCAACCAGCAATGGAAGTGGAGCTTCAAAGACTTGAGGAAACTAGTTCCTGGGGGGGGGGGGGGCGCGGGCGGCGTACCTGGAGGATGGGTGCCTCAGAGGAGAGAAAGCGAATGCGCCACAGTCGGGGGAAGTTTGACAACAGTTGACAAAAGAATAGAGCAGACATTTCAGCTTTGTAGTCACCTGCACGTTATGGGTGAAGACACTGACCGATGGTTTCATGCCTGTCTCCTTAGCAAAGGATACAGTGAGAGCCGTCAGCAGAGGCGGAGACAGTGAGATGAATACCAGTCTATCAGTGGAAATAGAGACTGATCGTGCCATTCACAAAAACAGGAGTCTGAGAAGATTTCTTAAGCTCTGCATCTCATTTTGCTTACAGGAGTCTAGGGAAACATTCAGACACGGGGACCAATTTCATTTCCAGTGGTTTAAAAATGAGACGGTCGCTGCGTTTTCAGTGGGAGGGGGCTGGTTAAGCACATTGCGATTCAGCCGCTGGGTGTTAGGTATCTGCGCTTGTTAGAATTCTCTGGTTGCATGAAACGGAAATAAAGCTGGCGCTCGCTTAAGCAAACCACCAAAAGACGAGTCCATGGCTTCATGGGAGGAGACTTCAGGAAGGGTGGGGCTGACCTCGGAAGTTCCCGGGCCTAGGAAGGTCATTGCATGAGGGCCTTCAGACTCAGGTGTCGCATCCCTCTTTCTGGGTGGCGGCGTCATCCTCCTGGCTTTGTTCCCAAACCAAGACTCTCGTTCTTAGAGTTGTATGACTCAACAGGAAAGAGCTAATCTGTTCTCTGTTTGTTGGAGTCTAGAAATCATGGAGAAGGACTCTTAATTGGCCCGTTGTGAGCCACAACCCCCTTTCTGGAGAATGAGATGTAATACAGTGATCAGCTCTGACAGGCATTTGGGGGAAGAAACAGGCAGTGGTGGAATGGATGCTAAAGCCACTATAACAGCCATTAAAAGGCGTATTTTGGGACATGCTTGACTATTTAGGAGATGGTCTTAACGTAATATTTAAAAAGTTCTAATTAAAGTGCAATATGTGATGTAACACCACACTTAAGCAGTACTATATTCATCAGTATACACAACATCTGTTCCTGTACCTGTCTAGTTACAAGAACCTGATGGCCTTGCACAGCATGTAGGCACATGTAGAGAGAGACCAGTTCCCCCCACACACTAGGCCAACCCACGAGGCGTCATCTGTTAGCCTCTGGTGCTGACATGACAGGACTGGACACCATGGTTCCTGGCCATCGAGGCAATGATTACCAAGAGAGGTATCTCAGAGAAAGAGAAGAAACAGAGAGGATTGTCCAGACAAGTAAGACATAGCATGGGGCCCCATCTGTGCGTAGTGTCTACTGGTAAAGTTAGCTTCAGGTTTAGAAGGTTAGTTTGCTGGCCAGAGGAGATGACGGAAGAAAAGCCGGAGTTTAGCTGGTTCCTCACAGGACTGTGCAAGCGTCGCAGCGGGAAATCTGGACTCACATTAAAACCTGGGGAAGAGCCAGTGTATAAAGAAGTGAGAGGTACAGTTAGGTGGATCAGCAGACAAAGAATCAAAACACACTGCTCGTAACCCCTAAGAGTCAGAAGGTTTCAGATGCTGAGAAAAAACAATAGAAAAATTGGGCAATGATCTTATCCATACCTTGCTAGAACTGTGTGCAAAGATATCTCATAATAATGCCAGTCGCTAGAGAGCTTGCTCCCCAAGGACAGGCAGAGAATTTCGTGCGACTTGTATTCTTACTCGTAGAGTGTTGTAATCGATGACACAGAATACGTGGATAAGATCAAACTCTTTTGGTTTCTCCCGTGAGGAGCAGGGGTCAGTCTAAGGTCCCCAGCATCTCCAGCCTTCCTCGATGACACCCGTACTCTGTGGACTGGATCACTAAGCCCCGCTAACCAACATTCCCCTCACAGATGGTATTGCTTCAGCGCTTTCAAGTGCCAAGTCTGTGTTCAGCACGAAGGCCTTGGTGAAAATGCAGCTTCTGAAGGATGTTGTGGGAGAAGACAAGTACAGAGTCAACAACAAGTACGACACGACCTACCCGCCTCTCCCCGTGGAGGAAGTGATACTGCGGTCTGAGTTCGTGATCGGGCAGGAGGTGGCCTACGACTTACTGGTCAACAACTGTGAGCATTTTGTGACCTTGCTCCGCTATGGAGAAGGAGTGTCAGATCAGGTGAGGTTTTTGTTTGTTTGTTTGGTTTGGTTTGGTTCTTTGTTTTGTTTTGTTTTGTTTTGTTTTGTTTTGTTTTGTTTTGTTTTGTTTTTCAGGAGGCATGGGAAGCTGGTGTGGAGAAAATCCTACCTGTTATGATAAAGCTTTTAGGCTTCCCCCAAAAGGCAAACAATAAGAAAATGTGGAAAGACTGAAGGGCAGAGAAAGACACTGCTAAGAATGCAGAAAGTTAGTGAACGGACTGAAACTTGGACAGCTTGAAATTTGGGCTAGAAGGGACTCAAAGCAGAATCAAGTCCATAGCTTCCTCTCAGTCTTATCGACTCCATTTAGGCACAGTTTTCTCCATTACACCCCCATAGAGCAATCTCAAATCGTCAACGCCATGTACTGAAAATAATGTAGCAAAAGGGAAGATGAATAGGAGGGGTTAATTTGTAGATTCTTCTCCAGTAGGGAATAGCGGCCACCCAATGCCGTGCCTTGATGGCTTGGTAAATGTTTCCTGTTTCCTTACAATACTAGTTTTCAATGAATGGTTATGATTTTAAGTAGCTGTTTGATTCCTCGAGCTTCTAAATGACTTCTAGGACATTAACTGACTCCAGCGTAACTTGCAGCCTCGTAGATTTCCAGCACTATTTTGTAGTATCATAGCGGATTCCCGACAAAGTGAACCTTTGCCTCCCTCGCCTCTACTAGGCCTGTCCTGGGCTCAGTGGGAGTCCATCTCTGCGGACTTGTCCCAAGGATCCTTAGGGTGACGCAAGAGAGTGAGTGAATAAAACTGTGAGAAGGGAGGCCCTCTTTGTCCAACATACATACAAACATGTTACTTTTTAAACTTAAATGGCCCAAAGGGTTTAAAAAACTATTAACCTCCAGTAAGTTGCTTCTTTAAAAGGAGACTGCCACTCAGACAACAATACCCAAACGTGAACATATTTTAATAATCCAAACTTACTCAAGGCTTCCTGTTCCTTCTAAAGATGGGAATAGCTATCAAACAACCTTCTACGAAGTGAGGTTCCTTTCTTCTCAGAACTGAGTTCAGACAAGTGGGAGACAGAACACGAGGAAAAGATATGTGTATTTTCTTTAGGAAATTGGCCATGTGTTCCCATCAGGAAGTACATTAACAGTGGATGTTCATTCAGATAATAATATGTATGTTTTTTAAGCCACAAGCCAGAGGCCACACACAAATTCCTCTTTGTCTTTGTGTTGAGAACTAGTGCTGTTGTTAGGAAATAGGTTCCATCTGCTTCATTGGTAATTACCCAGCTAAGTGGCACATTATTTACCCCAATAAAGAGCATGTGTTATGCTTGGGATGTATAGTGTCCCACGGAAGGCTTGCCTGGCGTATTCCTCAGGTGTTGGCTGTTGGTGAGACATAACCAGATTACGGGGTCTTTGGTAATGATTAATTTGTTCACCACATCAGCAAATAATATTGATTCATATAATTTCTGCAACTGGGGCAGGGCCGTGGTCAAAGAAAACAAATTTCTCTTATACCAAATAAATCAATTCCAAGATCTACTCTGTAACATAGTATCTATGGCTGAAAAGCCTGTGCTTTTATTAGAAATATATTTTTTATATATTTATTTCTTCCAAGAAGGTAGCTCTTAGGGCTAAATGCCCTTATAGCAACAATAAAGCCAAAAAAAAAAAAAAAGGATAAATCTACTAACTAACCAACTAAAAATCCAAACCAAAACAACAGAATCAAGGAAGATGGTTGTCAGAAACCTGTGGAGGTGATAGGTAACTGTGGAGCACTGATTATGATGACATTTTTTTTTTTTTTTTGGTTTTTCGAGACAGGGTTTCTCTGTGTAGCTTTGCGCCTTTCCTGGAGCTCACTTGGTAG